GATGGATGATAGAAAGCAAGACATGATAATCAAGAAATTAAGGTGATATGGGTGAAGTCCTGTTTGTTTAGAATCCTGTGGTGCACTGCCAAAAGGTGATCTTAAATCTCAACAGCTTGGGTATTGAGTGGCAAATAATGTTCTGGAAACTTTCAGCGAGGTGTTTTCAATATAGGTCTGAATGTTTTTGCCTAACTATGGCGTTTAAGTAGAGAATAAGTGAGCACTTCCTTGCTTGCTATAATTAAATAAAATGCTGGATTCATCTGGGGGGGGAAAAAGTTGGACACTCCACTGACTGAGTGACCCGGGTGCCCCACAACAACTTTATATTGAATCCAGGCTTGTTTTATATTTGAATTAATGCATAAGAACCAAAAATGAGATCTTGAGGTATGTTTCAGATTTTCTTTGGAGCAGGGTTTCTCAGGGAGCTTGAAAAAGTGTATGGGGCACTGTTGGTGTCAGAGTGGCATGGGGATTACTGTAGGCATTGATGGAACGGAGCCAGGGGCACCGTATGTCCTGCACCTACAGACAGTCCTGTACAGTGATGTTTTTGTCTTTCCTCAAATGTTGGTAATGTCACCATTGAGAAACCTCATCTCATGATTGAGAAACCTTAATGCAGCATTAAAGTGTGACATACAAATCAGGTAACATTAGGCATCTTCATGAGTTAAACTTACACAGTAACTTTTGTGTTTTTAATTTTTTGAAGTACATATGCATATATATATATGCATATATATATATATGCATATTTATAAAGGTTCAGGTTGATGAATTTGGATGTGTGTTAATACTGATGAACCCATCACAGTGAAGATAGTGAACATTTCTATCACACCCCAAAATTTCTTCTTCCTCTGAAATCTCTCCTGCTTTTCTTTTCTCCCTGCTCCCTGCTACCTCTGATCTGCTTTCTGTCATTATATATTAGTGTGCATTTTCTAGAGTTTTATGTAAATAAAATCATACAGGGTGTATTCTTTTTCTGGGTTCTTTCAGCATAATTATTTTGAGACTTCATCTTATTTTGTGTTCTTAATGATTCATTTAAAATTTTTTTAAAATTTAAATTCCATTTAATTAACCTATAGTATATTATTAGTTTCAGAGGTAGAGTTCAGTGATTCATCAGTGGCATATAACACCCAGTGCTCATTCCATCAAGTGCCCTCCTTTAATGCCTATCACCCAGTTACCCCATCCTACCTCCCACCTCCCATCCAGCAACCCGCAGTTTATTTCCTAGAGTTTAGCATCTCTCTCTATGGCCTCCTTCTCTGTTTTGGTCTTAGTTTTATTTTTCCTTCTCTTCCCCTAAGTTCATCTAAGTAGAGAATAAGTGAGCACTTCCTTGCTTGCTATAATTAAATAAAATGCTGGATTCATCTGGGGGGAAAAAAAAAGTTGGACACTCTACTGACTGAGTGACCTGGGTGCCCCACAACAACTTTATATTGAATCCAGGCTTGTTTTATATTTGAATTAATGCATAAGAACCAAAAGTGAGATCTTGAGGTATGTTTCAGATTTCTTAAATTCTACATATTAGTGAAATCAAATGGTATTTTTTCTTCTCTGACTTATTTCACTTAGCATATTACCCTATAGTTCCATCCATTTTGTTGCAAATGGCAAGATTTCATTCTTTTTGATAACTTTTTGATAACTGAGTAATACTCCATTTACTCCTGGGCCATAAATTTTTGTTTCTTCATTTTCTTCTGGGGTATCTTTTTCTTCTGTGCAGCCTCCTCTTCTGGTTTAGGAACAATCTGGTCTTCTTCAGTAAGGATTGCTCAGTGTGCCAGGAAGAGCTCTTGTGTGGGTTAATCTGACCATGAGCCCTGTAAGTTCTACACTGCACCTTGGGGGCTTTGTTCACCTGGATGTACTCAATGACTGGAGAATCTACATCTAAACCCTTAAGTTCAGCATTACTCTCTGCATTGTTAAGCGTGTGCAGTAAAAATTCAGCACTCTTTTTGGGCCATGACCCTGTGTGCCTCCCCACTGTTTGGCCTAGGCACACCTTCCACCTCCACCATTGTAGCAAGGCAATGGCACACATGGCTTCTGCAAAGTGACATCCTTCAGATACTTAGTGGCTTTTCAGATAAGTGTACCCTTGATGTCCTGGGCAGTTGCACGTGTGTTCTTAAAGTGAACACGAAGATTTGAACCTCTTGGTTTGCATGATTTTGTAGGGTTTTCTGTCTGGGTCAAGTGAACAGCGATCACCTCAATCTGCTTCGGGGAGTAGCACCCAGCTGTTTTCCAAAGTGGTTGTACTGTGTTCTGTCCCACCAGCAGTTTCTCCATGTTCTTGTCAATCTTGGTCTGGCCAGTACTTTTAATTTTAGCCATTCTAACAGGTGTGTATTAATACCTCATGGTTTTAATTTGTGTTTCATCAGTTATCAGTGAATGATGTTGAGCATCTTTTCGTCTGTGTGTGTGTGTGTGTGTGACATGTCTGTTCACATCTTTTGCCTGTTTTTAAAAATTAGATTTTTTTAATAATTGAATTTTGAGAGTTTTTTATATTCTAGATACAAGTCCATTATCAGAGATATGCTTTGCAGACATTTTTTTTCAGTCTGTGGGTTGTCTTTTCATGCTCTGAACCGCGCCTTTTGAAAAACCAGAAGCTGTTAGTTTTGATGAAGTCTAGTTTATCGGCTGGTTTTTGTGTGGATTGTACTTTTGTTGTCATTAGAGATCTTTATCTAACCCCAGGTCATAAAGATTTTCTCCAGTGATTTCTGTGATAAGTTTTTCAGTTCTAGATTATGCATTTATTTTTTTTTTAAAGATTTTATTTATTTATTCGACAGAGAGAGACACAGTGAGAGAGGGGACACAAGCAGGGCAGAGGGAGAGGGAGAACCCGACTCCCCACTGAGCAAGGAGCTCGATGTGGGACTCAATCCCAGGATGCTGGGATCATGACCTGAGCCGACGGCAGATGCTTAACAACTGAGCCACCCAGGCGCCCCTCTAGATTATGCATTTAGATCTGTGATCTGTCTTGAGATAATTTTTGTTTATGGTGTGATGTATGGATCAAAGCTAATTAAAAAATTTTTTTTGGCAAATGGATATCCAGTTGTTCCAGCTCTGTTTGTTGAAAAGATTATCTTTTGTCCTTTGTGCTTTTGTCAGAAATCAGTTGCCCTCATACAATGATTTCCTGAAGTCAAGTATTATTTTTATACCTCAACTTTTTTTTTTTTTAAAGCTGCTTCGGCTTTTGTAGGCCACTTGCATTTGAATATGAATATTAGAATAAAATTGTCATTTTCTGCAAAAAAGCCTGCTTGGATTTTGATTGGGTTGGCTTTGAACCTATAGATCAGTTTGCTGTTTATTTAGATCTTCTGTAATTTCTTTCAGCAACGATTTGTAGTTTTCCTTGTACATGTTTTTCACATGTTTTGTCAGACTTATCCCTAAGAGTTTAATATTTATTGATAATATTGTAAATAGTGTTTTTAAAACTTGTTCTCCAATTTAGGTCTTGTCCAATAAGCATGTGGCTCCTGATCATCTGTTGCAAATCTGCCAGCGCATTGGTCCCATGTTGGATAAAGAAATTCCACCCAGTATTTCAAGAGTCACTTCTTTACTTGGTGCAGGAAGGCAGTCTTTGCTACGTACAGCAAAAGGTACCTTAATTTGAAGAAGTGTTCTGCTTTGTAGCTTAATAATAATTATAATTGTGAAGTAATGTATGCATTGTGGAAGAAAGGCGATATGTAACTATAAACCATGCTGTGGACTATAAAATTTTCTGCGTTTAGCATAGACATTGAATTTTACTACATAAGTGTTTAATGGGTACTTCTGCATTTAAAAAAATGATAAAGGTTTAGATGTTAAGCGAAAAAGCTTGAATTTATTCTGAGATGTGTTTGAGGTTTTATCGATGTGAGTTCTTAATTTTCCATTTTGTAGCTCACTTATAACTTCATTGAATGTAATTGTATGTGTCTAATAAACTCTTTAAATGCTAGAAGTATTTTATTTGGTATTTAGATTCTGAAAGCCCTTTGTAATAAGGGGAAGTGATTTTTTAAGTTGGTAGCAGTTTGAAACAAGCACCAAAAATGTACAATTGCATGGTTCTTTTTCATCAATTTAATTTTTTTGCGAAGTTATGTGGTAGCAAAATGTTTGGAATTGCTGTTCTTTTTCTGTTAGCTTGGTATAAATCACCTAGACTAAGTATATGTATGTGATATGATCTATGTATACAACATGGCTGAACTGCTAACGGGCAAGAATGTTGGCTCTTCTGATCCTGAGTGTGTGTTCACGTGCACTCCCCATGATTGCCTTTATTCTGATCCTGAGTGTGTGTCACGTGCACTCCCCATGATTACCTTTATTCTGATCCTGAGTGTGTGTCACGTGCACTCCCCATGATTGCCTTTATTCTGATCCTGAGTGTGTGTCACGTGCACTCCCCATGATTGCCTTTAAGATCCGTTGCTGAGACGCTGCTGCCCCCTAGGTGCACCAGCAGGGTAAAGCTTGACTGAGGAAGAACAACCCTCCTTCCTGCTTCCATGCCGGCCTGGTTTGTCAGCTTTAGTTATTTCCTCGTGCTCTGTGGCCCTGCCACACTGTGGCTTGGGTCAGGAAACTGCTCTTATTCTCCCTTCTCTGCGTCCCCGTTCCCCTTGTAATTATTCTATTTTAGGTTGTTATGTAGTAGTTGCCTGAGTGGCCTGTTTTCCTCTGTTTTCTTTACTTGTGTCAAGCTCCGTGTCGTTTTGTGATGAGCACTGCTTTGGAACTGGCAGACCTTAGAAGAGACTTAAGCCAGCTGCCCTAGGGTAGGGGCCCATATTTCTCTGTCTTGTACTGGCGTCAAGAGAGGATGCCTTGTAACTGCTCTTTGGTCATGATAGTGGTAATGAATCCTTTCATGTAAAAAGTAATATGTGTGTTAGGTTGGGGCACCCGAGGCTCAGTAGAGGTTTATATGCCTTCCTTCCCTTCCTCTTTCATTTGTGAAGAAGCTAATTTCTGGCACAGCATGATCTGTGTTCTGCTGCTCTCTCCTAGAGAGGGGGCAGATGTTTCTTCTTAGTGTATTTGTTGATAGGTCAAAAAGGGACGGGACTCTAGAATTAGCGTTCACACTCACAGATCCTACGTGCTCTTAGGTAAAGGCTTATCCGTGATCCTAAAACGAGAGGAAAGCCATTTAATTTTGTCAGTATTTCCTAAGGAGATTAAAGTCATGGTAATATTGGCCAAAATTAATTTTGAAACTCCGTTAACATTTTAAGGATTTTCGTATCAGTCAAATAAAATTTTTCTTACAAAAATTTCCATTTTGGGAAAGTTGGATCCGTTGTGATTAAGATCTCTTACCATTCATATCGTGTGGTGTAATTCTGCATTGACGAATAAAAACTTACTCGGCATAGACTAGGACTTGGGAGTCAAAAGATCTGGTTTTACGGTCCGTCTGGACTGGGTCATTGGCAGCGGGTCTCTTGAAAGGTCCCAGAACCTTTGAGCCTCAGTTACCTCACTTGTGCGTTGGCGATCACACCTACCTCACAGGGTTGTTGTGAGGATTCAATGAGACGATGTACGTGGAAAGCACTTTGTACACTGTAAAGTGCTGTACTCATGTTAGCTGTTGTTGTTGTATCTGAGATGTCTTAATTTTTTTTTCCCCTTCAGAAATAGTCTAATAAACCTCTAGGGCTTTTCTGTTAAAGTATATTAGTTGGTAAAACTTTGAATAAACAGTTTGTTACAATATACGTAAGTATTCTATAAAATCTTTCTTGGGGTTAACTTTCAAGATTTTATGTGTATCTAAAATTCGTTTTAAAGACTGCAGGCACACAGTTTGGAAGGGCTCTGCCTTTGCTGCTCTTCACAGAGGAAGACCTCCAGAAATGCCAGTGAACTATGGTTCCCCACCCAGTCTTGGTGAGTGAGTGTGGCTTGGCACGTGACCGAAACCCAGCTTTTAATTTCTTGACCGACTTTGTAACGGCTTTGTAACAGCTATATTAAAATTTAAAAGGAAATACTGGTAGTGTTGTTTCAGTAGTGATAAGTACCCATTTCCAGACTTACTGTTTTCCTAAAGTTATTACTAAACGTAGTAAAAATTATTGAAAGATAATCTTATGCTAATAAGAAGCCCATAATGGTGATTATAGTAGAACAGAGTTGGGGAGAAACTAGTATCCTTAGGATTTCTTGAACATAGATTCTGTGACTCTCTAGAAATTGTTGTGGAGTTTTTCTTCGTTTTTTTACATTATTGGCTCTTCTTAACCATTTTCATTGTTTTTATTTCCTAGTGGAGATACATCGAGGAAAACAACTCACAGGGTGTTCCACTTTTAGCACAGCATTTCCAGGAACTATGTATCAGCATATAAAAATGCACAGAAGGATTCTTGGACATCTGTCTGCTGTTTACTGTGTAGCATTTGATAGGACAGGACATAGAATCTTTACCGTGAGTTAATGTTTTAAACTCAATTTGGTATCATCTGGAGCACTTCAGTGTGCATTAGAATCCTGTAGGCGATCTTATAAAACATGTAGATTCTATGGTTCCCATTCTCAGGGATTTTGACTCCATAGATCTGGGGTGGGGCCCATGAATTTGCATTTTTATTAAGTATCCCAAGTGATTCAGATGCAGATAGCCAGGCCTTGTGTAGTGTTTGTGAGACATTGACTTAGTGGTTCATGGGCATGATCATCAGGGATCTTAAAAATATGCATGCCTAATACTTGCCTTCCATCCCATTCTAGACCTACTAATGAGGGTAGTTTCTAGTATGTCCAGTAACCAAAACAGACCAAAAAAGCTTCCATAAAAATCCAAATCTTTGCAGGTGATTCATATTCATATTGACTACTCATTGATCCAGGGAAATTGATTACTTGAACAGTGAAAGATTATTTTATTATTATTATAAAACTATGTATAAATATTTGTAATCTAACATTTTAATATTTTAAGGGAAGATTATGATGGGTCAGAAGTTTAAGTTTCCTTTTTCAGTTGTGAGATTCAGAGTAGATACTAAAAAATTTGCTGAGTTAGATGGATGCTGGCTGGTGTCACAAATTTGAGACTCTGTTGTTGGGTTATTTAAAATGAGGGTGCTAGTCCCGTTCTTTTTTAGTTGTTTTTGAGATTGCCACTCACTTAGCGGGTGAACCGTAGGTCTGTCCTAATGCATATCAAATTATTTAGCTTGATGTGAGCAAAACTGACATTTAACCATTGTTAATTGAAATAGGTGAGCCATGAACTTTTAGTTGAACTCATTGCTTGGCGGGGAATTTTGGGAAAATAGTATTTATAATGTTGTCTGATCCACAGAAATGAAAACTTCATAGTATCTTTATAGAGATGTTATTTGATTTGAAGAAAAAAATTGTTCCATACGTGTTCTGACTGTAAGATTCATAATTTACAGAATATTACACAGTTGGAAAGGGAAGAGTTATAGATACTTAATTTGAGTGACACGTAAATAGTATTTTTTAAAATGCTAGGCCATCTTGGTTACTTCTAAGTATTAGCAATTATGAATAAAGCTGCTGTAAACATGAAAAAGCTAGAAAAGACTTGCTGTTTTAACATTTGTTTTTGGGTGTATTTTTTCTCAGGGTTCAGATGATTGTTTGGTGAAGATTTGGTCAACACACAATGGCCGCCTGTTATCGACATTAAGAGGTCATTCTGCAGAAATTTCAGATATGGCAGTAAACTATGAGAATACAATGATTGCTGCAGGGAGCTGTGATAAGATAATTAGAGTGTGGTGCTTGAGAACTTGTGCCCCAGTTGCTGTGCTCCAAGGACACACGGGGTCAATCACATCTTTACAGGTAAACTAGCTTTAGTGTGCACATTTGTGTATGAACTTCTGTTTAAAATTCGTTCTCCTTAGAGATGAGAAATAGTAAGATGCTTAGTAATTATGTGATCTATTTTAGTAACCAAGAGAAAATGTAATTAATCATACCTCCATGAATCTTGGAAGGGTGAGGTAATGTTGTCCGGTGCAGCTAAGGGCTTTACTTGAAGGCATGATGGATAACTTCCTGCTTCCTAATTAGGCTTACAGTTAAGCTGGGGGAATGTCAGTTACAAACAGGATAGGTTCATGATCTTTCTGTCTTTCTTTCTTTCTTTCTATTTATTTACTTATTTGAAAGAGAGAGACAGCGAGGGAGGGAACACAGGCAGGGGGAGTGAGAGAAGGAGAGGGAAGCAGGCTTCCCACTGAGCAGGGAGCCCGATGCAAGGCTCGATCCCAGGACCCTGTGATCATGACCTGAGCTGAAGGCAGACGCTTAACGACTGAGCCACCCAGGTGCCCTGGTTCATGGAGGATAATTTTACACATACCCAGAGTAGAATAATATAACGAACCCCTAGGTGCCCATTAACCCATGGCCAGTTTTTTTGCTCCAACCACACTTCACTTTGTACCTAAAGCAAATCCTAGATTTCATATCATTTTTCTGTAAATATTTCAGTGTGTCTTTCTAAAAGATAAAAATTTCTTTTAATAAACACAACCAAAACATTATCATCATACTTATTTTTTTTCATGTTCAAATTTCCAGTTGTCTCATCAGTAGCAATATTTTATTTGTTTGAAGGAGGAACCAGACAAAACTTGTATCTTATAGTTGGTTACTGTCAATTAAAAGAAGCTTAAAACAAATTGCATTCCCTTGCCCAATTTTTTTAAAAATCCCCTTACAGTTTCTTTGTTTAAAGAGTTGGGTTGTTTGTGTGTGGAGTTCCCACAGTTTGTGTGGAGTTCCCACAGTCTGGATGTTACCGTCTGCATCCTTGCAGAGCGGATCAACATGTTCCTGTGTATTTCCCGTAACTTGGTTGTTGGATCCAGAGCAGTGGTTCTGCTAAATGTGCATGTGAATCACTTGGAGGCCTTGTTTAAAACACAGATTGCTAGGCCCCACCACCAAAGATTCTGATAGAAAGTGTCGGAGGTGGGGCCTGAGAATGTGCATTTATAATAAGCTCCCAGGTGCCGCTCCTGCTGTTCTTCCTCCCCCAGGGACTGCACTTTCAGGATTGTTAATCTAAAGGCTTGAGCACCTGGAGGTGTACACTCTTCTAGGCATGAAGTGTCTGGTAGTCTCTCTCTAGCAGCCATTGAGGATACTGTCTTAGAGTCATTAGTTCATTCAGAACTGAAAATGGTGCTGTTCGGTCAGTTTTTTGAAAGTTTTGTTAGGAAGATACCGATTTGTAAGGCCTTTTAAGGCACATTGGTGCCTCTGACTTGATTTTGGATAAAACTGTGGGAGCGGTTCCACTTTCAGGTACGAATGCACCCAGGCTATATGTTAAGTGATCTCTAAATGGATTTGGTGTGAAGTCCTATGACGAGAGACACTTTTCTCAACTCTTCCAGTCAGTTTTCTTTTTTTTTTTTTAAAGATTTTATTTATTTATTCATGAGAGACAGAGAGAGAAGCAGGCTCCCAAGGAACAGGGAGCCCGATGCGGGACTTGATCCCAGGACGCTGGGATCATGACCTGAGCCGAAGGCAGACGCTTAACCATCTGAGCCACTCAGGCGCCCTCCAGTCAGTTTTCTTGAAGAATAGAGATAACAGATTTATTTTTGAATGAAGACAACCAGAATTGAGATAGTGTTTTATTTTGAAACTTTAAGCAAGGTTTTTGGTATGCCTGTTTATTTTAAGGAAAGAGTTCTTTAGAAGTTTTCATAGTCTGAACATTAATTCAAATCTTCATTGTGTGTTCCACAATTGGCATTGTGTTATTTGATATGAACTTCTAGGCCAGTATAGCAGCACATGAGAAAACTTCTGACTTTGTGCTGGTGTCTGTCCTCAAACCATCATGGAATCCCTCAATGTAAAAGTGGAGCTCTGGTCTTATAACCCATTCCTTTGGTAATGGGGCCCACATTCGGTTATCACCTACTGAAAATATCTGAAAAATCTGTTTGGGTGGTAGTAAGTTTTTATACACCAGAAAGTTCATCTCTACTTGCCAGTGGTTACCAAAGTTCAAAGTCAAACAAGGACACAATTTTAGTTGTTAATCTTTTTTATATTCTTTGCCCTGTTGTTACTGGCATATAGAAACCATTTTTCACTATAGTAAAGGTTTTATTTTTTTTTCAATTTATATTAAAAAAAGATGTACAGGTAATATTGTTTGCAGAAAAATTAGACAGTAATTAATAGCAAATAAGAAGGTAAGCCTCCATGATCTTACCATCTAGAAATAGTCACTGTGAATATTTTGATGTACACCTTTCTCAAGGGTAGCAATATACAATGTCATTTGATATAATTTACATTCTCAAAAATGATAGTATTATTACAACCAGAAGTAGAACCTTTTGTCTGTCTGAAAGAATAGCAAATGAGCATTCTGCAGGAAGGAAAGACACTGTATAGGTGGCTTGGACTAGCTTTCCTTTTTAAAAAGAACTTGGGAAGTTAGACACAGGTGAAAAAATACCTGAGATACACACAATGAGAAATTAGGACACCAAGATAAGGAAAGCGAGGAGCTATGAGTCAGAAGGCATTTGCCAATTCCAGAGGAGGTGGCCATTAAAGCTTAGCAGAACTTTTGACACACTTGTAGGGGTAGAGAGGATATAGATTGAAAATATCTACACATAAGTTCGACTATTTAGAATAGAAAAAATTGCAGCAGAGAACTGCAAGTTAGTACAGAGGAAATTCTAGAGTTGAAATAAAAAGCTGAATTTCAGAATTGAGTGGATGGTTTTAATACATTAGACATGACTGAAGAAATTGAAGATTTAATGAACTGGAAGTGAGGTTGGAAGAAAATAAATGGATTGAAGCACAGCAGGAAGAGGTTGGACTCTCAGGCTCTGCTAAAAAAGATACTACATGTCTGTACGTACATATGCCACATGTGTAATTGGGTTTCCTGAACAAGAGGAGAGAATGAAGCAGAGCTGTATTTGAAGTGTAACAGCCGAGAATTTTGCAAAATGCACTGGAGAAATAGAGCCACAGATTGCAGAAACACTGGGGATCTTGAGCAGAATAAAGAAGAATACAGAAGACTACAGCTATTGAACATCACCCTACAGAGAAATCTTAAAGTAAGCAGAAGAAAAAATAAAGAAGCAGTAAGACTGATGATTAGCTTCTCAGTAGGATAGTGGAAGTCAGTAGACAAAGAAATACTTCTAAAGTGCTAATAAGGGCACCTGGCTGGCTCAGTTGGTAGAGCATGCAACTTGATCTCAGGGTCGTGTGCTCAAGCCCCAGGTTGGGCTAAATACATAAAAAAAAAAAATAATAAAAATCTTACATTTGGATTTATTTAAATAAATAAAGTGCTAATAGGAAATGACTGCCTGTCAGGAATTCTGAACCTATCGAAAATAGTGCTTTAAACACATTTTCAGACAACTTCCTAGCAAGGGAACAGCCCTAAGGGGGAATTCTAAATAGTAATAGGCCAAGAGGGAAATGTGATCCCAGGCTTGGAGATGCAAGAAGGAATAAAGAGTTTAAAAAAAAAAAAAAGGTGTGTGAACACATGGAAAAAAACATCGATTGTATACAAGTATAATAGCTTATGGGTTGAAAAATTATTACAGAGAATCTAACAAGTAATAGTAAAAGCTTGTATATCAGGAGGAGGTAACTTTAGTATTTTTAACATCTTTGCATTGTTCGAGAAGTAGACTTTTAATAAGATGAAGATGGATTTTGTAATCTCCAAAATAACAACTAAAAGAATTGTAATAGAGTGTATAACTACCAAGCTAATAGAGGGGGAAATACGGAATAATTAAAAAAAAAAAAACAAAAACGCAAGAAAGAGTGAAAGAAAGGTGGGAAGACCTAGGATGCTGCCAGGCTGTGATTAGGTAGCAGTATGTTCATGAACACTTTATTTGTAAGTGCATTAGGTGGTTCCAGTGAGAGACAAAGATTTCAGACGGAACTAAGAAACAAAACCCCATCTTTGCTATAAGGCTATAGGGAGGCTGGAAGTAAAGGATGGAAGACTTGCAAATACCATAAGGCTGGTGTAGCATTCTAATATTAGCTAATAGGGCTTTAAGGCACTTAACATTTTTAGAGGCAAAGAGGGACAATTTATAATAAAAAGTTTCATGAGATAGAAGAGTTCTAAATTTAGGAATGTGGCATCAAAATACATAAAGCAAAAATAGAATTTATGAGGAAAAATGGACCTCCATAATACAATCATAGTGGGAGGTTAACACACCTCCATCTCTCCATAATTGAAAGAAGAACCTATGCTATAAAGAAATCTTGATTTGAACAACAAATGATGACCTTGACCTGGATGCCAGATTGAAACATTGCATATGATATCTGCATCATTTCTTTGTAGTCATAAGTGGGGTGTTTATATAAATACTGTCCACATTCTGACCCTTAAAGCAACTTCTCAACAAATTTGAGAATACTGAAATAATCCCAAGTATATATTCTCTGACAGTAGTGTAGTTAAACCAGAAATTACTAACAGCCAGAATTAATGGGAGAATAATCCTCAAATTAAGCAGTATACTTTTAAATAATACACATATTAAAGGAGAAATCACAATAAAAATTTAAGAATACTTGAACTGATCAATGAAAATATTAGGTATTGTGTATTGTGGGATGTAGAGTTTGGTAGGCAGCCACCCCAAGATGGTGTTCGATAATTCTTGCCTTCTGGACTCATGCCCCTTGACCTGTCTTATTCTCTTGACTCATTCATCTTATGGGAAACCAGCTGCCATGTTGATAGGACACTCAAACAGCCCTATGGACTGTTCCATAACATTCATGGCAATTAACTG